CCCCCCCCAGCTCCTGCTACAGCACTTCACCTTTTTGCCTTCCCCATAGATAAGTGGAAACTTCAGGTCATCCTCTTCTATCTTTTTGTAAGCCCTGGTTAAAATAAGCCAGAGACAACATATCAGCAGGTGAAGGCTTCCAGCACCTTCCCTGCCCGCTCAGGACACAGCATCCCCCGGGACAAGGCCCCTTCAAGACCCAGGTACCCAGTGTGCCACAGTCCCCACCCTGTGGGAAGGGATGCTGGAGCCGGACAGCCACATGCAGTGGGACCCCAGTGCCGCCCCTCGGCACAGAGCCTGCCAGGCGGGTTGGGGGGTTACCAGCCGTTCATGTTTTGGTCTCTGTACAGCATCTTCCTCCCCAGCTCCTTGGGCTGGATCCTACGGGGGAACTCGAGGTGGGTGAACTCCTTCCCCAGCAGCTCAGGCCTCAGGAACGCCTGCGGGACGAAGCAGCGGCTCAGCCGCAGGGCCAGCAGAGCAGGATCCATGCAGCAGTGCCTGCCGCGCCAGCTGGCACCACCCGCAGCACCTCACCGGGCACTGTGGGACCTGCCAGCCTGCCGGGACCTCGGCTACGGTGTTTCATTGTGGGGATAACATCAGTTGCTCTGCTGCAACTCGAACAGGCAGCAGTGGTAAAGCAGCTTCAAAACACCCATCTGTGCTATGCCCAGAGGGGACAGCTGTGCCAACACCCAGCAAGAAGGTGAAGCTTTTGCATGGAGAGTTTTGGGAAATAAGGACCTCTCAAAGGGATCAAAACCCAGGAAATTCCAGGAGAAGCTGGAATTTGCCCAGGGGGAGTCAGCTGCAAACCTCCCAGGACCCCAGGCTCAGCACAAGGCACTCGCCCGAGGAAAAGAGCCAACGGGTCTTTTCAGAAACCATGTCCCTGCTGTGGCTGTGACAAGGGACAAGAAGCAGCACAAAGCCCCTTCCCGGGGCAGCACCAGCAGCCCCAGGGCCTCCTGGAGCACAGCATGCAGGGGACCAGAAAGAGCAACAGCGCTGGAAAATGCACATGGAGGAAGAAAGAGCTGAAAGAAAGGAGGAGAGCCCTTGGGAACATGGGAAGGTTTGGTGCAGAGGCAAGGAGACCCCCATCCTGCTCCAGGAAGGGGGGCCCTGACCATGGCCTGGGCACCGTGCAGCAGAGCAAGCGTGCGCCTGGCCCCCTGCCCATTGCAGCCGGCTGGAGAGGATCCCGCTCACAGCGGTTTCCTCCTCTCGGTCATTCAAAAATAGATTCAAGAAAAAAATGCCTCAGTGTTTTTCCAAGTACATTGCAAGCCAGGAAATCACATCCAGCAAGACCTCCTCCAACACAAACGCCTCCTCCTCTGTGCTGCCATCAGAGAGGTCTTTATAACCTTAAAAAGTCTCCCTGTGTGGCACAGGGGGGTTTGTCCAGGCCAGAAGGAGCTTTCAGGAGGAAAGCTAGAAACCCGCTAGCACACGTCAGCTCCCTGCCTCCCCAGGGAGCAGCCGGGGAAAAAACTAGGACTCGGCGCGAGCGCTGCGGCTCCTTCAACTGTGCGAGGGAGCACGACGGGTGGAGGGAGCAGAGACACACTCCTGGTCACTGCGCAAGCCAGCCTGGTGCTCCCACAGCAGCGGCAGGCGGTGCTCCCCATTCCCCAGGCAGGAGCAGGACACGATGGACTGAAGCATCTCCATGCAACCGCACCAAACCGGCCCCATGCCGAGAGCCCAGGATCCCCAGCTGACCCTGCAGCAAACCAGGGCTCCACCAGCCACGAGATGCCCCCACGCCAGTGAGCCAGGGCAGCTCCCTGCATCCCAGTGCCTCTCCCCAACCCAGCGAGCTGGCTGGGATGGACAAGTGCCATCAGCATGTCCCAGCTGTGGGGCTGCCTTCGGCCCCTGGGACCCCACCAAGAAGGCAGCCCGGCAGGCAGCGTGGGAGGCTGGGAAGGGGCTGGGAGGTGGTTCAGCAGGAATGAGGTTAGAAGAAAGGTCTTACTAAAAACTGCAGCCTCTGCCTCTCTGTCTCTGGAGTAAACTCCCTGGACATTGGAATGATTTCCCCGTTACGGATGATAATGGCCCTGCAATGAAACATGGAAGGATGATATTAGAGAAGAGGAGAGGAGACATGATGGGGGAGCTAAGCCTGGCTCTCCAGGGCTGGTTCCCTGCACAGCTGCACAGGCAATACAACCCCTTCCCTCCACTGCCTGCCCTCTTCCCAGCCCCAAGCTGGGGGGCTGCTTGCTGGCTCCACTGGCCCCCGGGTGGGCAGGGCATGCCTCTCTCCTGCACAAGACAGGGGCAGGGGGGAAGAGAAAAATGGAAGAGAAGCATGGGGCAGAGGAGAATGAAGCAGAGCAAACCAAAGGAGAGGATATAGTCAGAAGAGGATCAGCACAAAGGTGGCAAGCCCTCCTTTAGAGGGGACCTGCACACAGGACAGGCAGAAATCGCCAGCAGCAGGACATGGGTGCAAGTGCCCAGCCCACACCAGCACTGCAGCTCACTGCTGGGGCCAGTCTGATTGTTTGATGTGTTAAAAAAAATAAAAGTCTGATTATGAGATGTTTCTGGATGTCATGGCGGGGATCAAGGATCTCCAGCACTGGTGGCCCAGCTGTCCCACCTGCTGTCCTGCCTAGGGCTGCAGGTCTCCTCCAGGGCAGCAGGGTCTGGCTAAGCCCAGCTCTGGCAGTGTCCGATGCCTGAGGAGGGTACACAGACCCTCACCCAGAGGCATGGTTACAGCCTCAGGACCCTGCGCGCATGGCTGCTGCTGCCATGGAGAGGCCCCGCACCCAAAAGCGGAGGCGCAAAGGATCTCCTCCTCCTCTGTCCCAGAGCTGGAAGCACATCCTCCAGCCTCAGACAATTTACCAGAGCCTGTATTTGCTGGCCTGACACTGCTGAGGACAAGCTAACCCTGCAGTAAATACAGGGCAGTTCAAACTAGCTTCACCCTCAGCATAAGGTGGACTTGCCTTCCTGCCGTTGCTCGGGGGTATGAACACACCCAGGCGCAATTACAGCAATGCACCCAAGGAAATGCATGTATCAGTCAAAATCCTTGGGCTCCAAGCTCCCACAGAACTTGTCTGCACACAGATTTGCATGTCCTTCTCCTGAAACAGTTCACTGGTATGAAGTGCACCCTAAAATGACTTCTTGCACATTTTTAAAAGTTTTGCTGAGGGCAATTTTCAGTTGCGAACTCACAGCCCAGGCCAGTTCTGGCAGCAGGGGCCAGGGTGTGATCCAGAGCCATCTGGGAAGCAGACAGGACGCTGCCGGGAAGGAAGGGAGCAAGTCCCAGATTTTGGAAGGTGATTCTGCATCCCGCTCTGTGCACCAGGCAAATGCAGAGATCATGGCAGGGCACGCTCTCCCCAGGGCGTGCAGGCAGGCAGGGGACGGCTCTGCCCAGTCCTGCTTCCTCTGCCCTCCCCAAGACAGCCCAGCTTCAGGGATGGAGCCGGGTGCTCCTCACCAGCCATGCCTCCAGCACCACCCTGCTCTACCGGGGTACTTCCCGATTACCGGGTGGAAGACGGGGGCTGCCCTGCGGAGCTGTACCTGCTGTCGCCGGCATTGGCCACGTAGAACTTGCCCATGAGGTAGACGGCAGCCAGGGCGCAGCAGCCCCCGGACAGGCGCTGGGACGACCGCTCCCGCTCGATCTGGTCATCCTGGGAAGACAGAGAGCAGCTCCAGGCAGGGCGGGAGGCCCCGTGCCAGCAAGTAAAGCTGCAAGCAGCCCAAAATAGCACCCGGCTGCTCCGGTAGCACCTCAGCTGCTGGCTGAGCCAAGAGCCTGCTCCAGGTGGGGAGCAGCAGTCAGCCAGGGCCTGGGCACCTTTCCCCACACAGCCCAGCGGCAGCTGCAGGGCTGGGGGGACAGGGGTCCTGCAGTGCAGCCGGGGACATGGCTTTACCAGGGCAGTGGAGCAGGCAGGGAAGAGCAAGACAGGAGGGGAGCAGCTGGGACTGCTGGAACCAAGCGCAATGGAGCCCTCTGCACCCCTACAGGCCTGGAGCCCAAAGCCTCTGCGTCCTGATGCCCAAAACAGGGGAGAGCATCGCAGTGCTCTCTCCAAGACCATCCTGCTAGGAGCCGTCACTGCAGCCCCCTCCTTGCTCCAGAGTTGCCTTTTACAGAGGGGACAAGCCAACGCAGACACAGACAGCGGAGATGCTTCCAGGGGATGCCCTGGGCATCCCTGCAGGCAGGGGCTCGCTCACCATGTGCTTAAAGGCGTTCTCGATGGCACCGATCACCAGGCTCTCATGGGAAACCGCTTTCTCCAGGTGAAAGCGTGGCACAGCATCGTTGGGGACCTCCCCATCATCCTCTGTGAGGGGCACCCGGCTCGACTCTGCAGGGCCGGCCCTCATGTCGTGCAGGAGGCAGATGGGAGGCGGTGAAGGGTCCTGCAGGATGTCCACAAGGTCCCGGAGCTGCTCACAGATGTGGAGATG